CGCTAACCGAGTTAATCTTATGTAACAACTACTGCCCGAATGCCCAATTCACTCCCCCACACTTAAACTTTGGCATCGCCCTCGATGACCAAAAACGCACTATGCACAAGGGGTAAAGAGGAAAGGGTCACACGTGCTCAATTTTAACTCAAGTCAATTATTACAAAACATGCGATAAAAAGAGTCGCAGAAAGTTCCGTAAAGCGCTGGTCGGTGCAGAACTAAACTGAGTCAATGTAATCCTCGACACATCATCCCTACAACAAGACCCTGAGCTGCAAAAACAAAACACACAAAACACACAAAACAAACAAAACAACAACAAATGCAGAAGTAAGCTCGGGTTGCCTCCCGAGAAGCGCTATTTTTAACGTCGTGTGCCCGACAATACCTCATATGCTCTCAAATAGCAAAGACTGTAATGGTGCACTAATTTTCAAAGCTTCTAACTTTCGCTCCACAAATGCAATTAAGTGGCACAGACCTCTAAATTCTCGAGTCCACATAGGCAGCATATGATCTTCATAACCCTCATGTTGACAGAAGGTCATCCTGAACACCGTTTTCAAGCTCTCTTTGTCTTCTTTTGATCCCGTAGCCAATCCTGGAGCTCTTTTGTCATCAAATCTTCATCGTGAAATTCCAGATGACCCCCAAAGCTCTCAATTCACTCTTGAATGCTTCTCGAATCATTCCTTTTGCTTCTCAAGCGTCGGTGTCGAACTCTAAATTCCTGATTTTGACTCCAAATCACACAAAACTCGAACCAACACCCGGTAAACATAACTTGAGCTAAAATTGAGACTTGCAACACCTTAAAGCTAGGAAAATCATCAAAAGCCGATCCCAAAACGCATTGAATGCGTGTTGTAATACGAACTTATCATACATCTACAAGGGTCATAATATGCCTAATCACCATATTTATAATTACCCCTTTAAAAGTTCAAAACATGTTAATTCCCATGATGGTAACCATGACGTACCAATAATAAAAACATAGCACATATCATTATTGAGGACTACACTGATAACGTACATAAAACTCTTGCAATATCCTCGATCAAGGTGGGTGTGTCTAATTAACTTGTTATCTAATAAACATCTATGTGATTAGTTTGATATCCTTAAACATATGAACACTGAAATGTAGTTATGAACTAATCTATATATAGATCTATTAATTATTAATGACCCACATTAATAATATTAGATCAGAGACCTTGAATATTATGCTTATAAGAACGTGTAGCGCGCACTACACAATAAAGTGAACTAATAATAAAGAGAGCTCATGCTAGTTACTTATATGCTTACCATTCAGAGTCTAGCCAATAATAAAGAGAACTCATGCTAGTTACTATAAAACGAGTTCATAACTTTACTAAATTATGAACATAAATATTCAAGGAAATTAAAAATTACACTATGATTGTCCTCGAACATATTTCCAATATTAAGTAGCTATGCTATGAAATGATCTTTGATAGTCTATTCATGATCCTAGATCAGATTGCAGAGAAGTTTTTGAGCCATACCTCCAACTATCTTCATTTCAATTCAAAAATGTTTTAAACATTTCCTGATTTTCTACAGACTTTTGAGGCCCAACGCCGGTACGGTCTAGTGAGATGACGGACACCGGGTGGGTCATATTCTAGCGCCACTTTATTTCCAAAACGCATTTACTTAGTTTTGAGTGCTTTTTGGCTTCGATGGTTGATCCAGAAGTGTCGTTTGTTGCTGTTTTGACTTGTTGCTTTTATTTTCTTCATATTTACAATACTTCACATTCTTGACGATTTTTGGATTTCTTTACCCAATTTCATGACTTTTTCCAGTACAAATTACAATGAATATAATACTTTCGTAACACTAGGTAATTATCATACCTATCAAATTCCCCCACACTTGAGTCTCAAGTGTTGCTTATCCTCGGGCAAATCTCTAATGATGCACAACTAAAGAAAAGATCGTCCATGCAAATTAAATTCTCAATAATAAGATAAAAGTACTACATACTATGTCGATATAAACTCTTTAATTCTTTCCCAGAGGAAAAAAGTTTTTCTTATCACTAACCATGATTACTGCACTTAAGATATAAAGAATGTTTTACTCTTGAGGTATATTTTTGTGACAATTTAAGCAATATGTTGGAGCTTGAGATATTTTGATGGCTTTTGTGGGTTGATAACCTTATTTTGTAAAGAAAGCTATTCTAGGAGATCACTATTTTTCTGTTTTCTTATTTATATTCTTTTATTGGTTCTCTATGTTTTGTAGAGAAAACTCCAGATACAAATCTCTATCTGTATCTGGAAACTAGCTTGTCTCAAAGATCTTGATACCAACCTCTCCATCTCATCTTGGTCGACATCAATGTTACCTGGTTAATGCATTGGCCACACAAACGACCGAGTATCCTCCATGATCGCACAATTGCAGTGATATACACGACAATTCTACTTAGACTTGGAACATATAGAGCAAGCCACACATTTTGAACTCTTTGGCTAGCATATGAGTCATATGACAGAGTGCCAACATCCGCATTTGGCGTTCCATATAACCATACTGACTTTAGATTTCTAGGACGACCAAGACATCCCACCATAACTCTACCATCATCCCTTATACATTCCTATTGCATTCTTAAGAAGCTTTCATGCATGTATATCTCCATAATGTATAAAAAAGGACAACACCCCACCCTTAAGGGTCTCTCAGAATCGATCGAACATTTATCTGGGAGGAGGAAAGTAGAGCTTTGTTCACACACTGATTGAAAGAGAGCGAGATAGCATACCATGATTTTTCTTGGAGTTGAACTCAGGATCTTTCCCTTGTGACACCCTATTCCTACCAGGTGAGCTACGTTCAGGTTCCATAGTGTATAACAAAGATACTACCTATAGTTAATCGGCAAGGTATTGCCCAAAGAAGTCCATAGTTTCCCTATCTTTTATACTTATTTTAATTCCCGACAGTCATACATAGCAATTTTCAACATCTCAGTCATTGAATTTAATAGTACGTTTCTCGATTATTTCTACTTCTATTATTAATCAATAATCGACTTCTTACTTTTACCGTCCCTCATTGATCTCTCTAGATCTCTATTATACAAAATTTATTCTACATTTAGGGTGTGTTTGACATTTATCCGTTAGCGGTTGGCAGACAACAGGATATGTTAGCGGGTTGTCAATAGAAGTTTCAGTCAGCAGGTTTGACTAATGGGATAAGTTGGCGGGTTGTCAGAAGATGCTTGATAATTTGGCTGTTTGGCTATATATAAAAATTAGCAGAAACGCCAATTTTCAAAACCCTAACCCAAAACACTCATATTTGCACCGTTTCCATTTCAGTGATTTCGTTCAAAAATGCCAAGGCCGAACAACTAATTACCAAATGATGTTTTCATTTATTGAAAACGTAAAAGTGACCAAACTGCATTTTTTTTACTGAAACGTCATTTTCAAAAAACTCCCTTAATTGTTTACTTTATATGTCTCTAAAATATTCAATCACCTCACACAACTCTGTTTTTTCTCTTTCAAGGGCATCACTCAATATAATATTGAGCGACACTCAATTTCTCACGCATATGTCTCAAAATATCTCTTTCTAGGTTACCGACAACTTAATATATACTCCCCTCGTCTCTCATTATTTTTTCATGTTTGACCGGCACGAGAAATAATAAAGTAAAAACTATGTGGTTGAGATATGTGCAGAGGAGAGAGAAATAACATGAACCACAAATTCATTGATTAAAAGGGAAAATGAAGAAGTTTTTGGGACATTACAAAAAGAAAGATGACAAAGTTATAAGGGACGGAAGGAGGAGTATGTTCATTCTCAATATAGTGTTGGTAATGGAGATCAACTTGTTCGATCTTTCATCACTAACCTTTCACATTTCTGTGAATAGTATCTATATATAGATCACCATCCAAAGTCATCTTGATGAATCTACATTTTATTTATTACATTATTCACTTTGTTTGCTATGCCACAATGTTTGAGAAAATTTCGTGTGATCAACTGATGAGTTGCGAATCATATGAGAAAGTTGTTGATGAGTTTAGAACATGTGACAATATACCGCTTAGAAAAAATATGATATACCATAGGGGAAAACAACAACCAAGAAGTCAACCACTTCTAGTCAATCATGTATAAGTAACAATTATTCATAATCAGAGCGAGTCAAGGATAATGCAATTGTAAAATGTAGGGGAAAGCAACTAATAAGTTGAAAGCCTAACAAATTGGAAGCAAAGAACATGAAACTACATCGTGCCTTGTTTATAATGCCATTTATGAAAACTGAAAACCAATATTTGTGATCCAAGACAATAACTCTATTTGGATGGAATTGTAATCATATTCGATATTCTATATTGTAAGTTAATTAATATGAATATTTTGCTTACCTTATCTCTTGCTAAATGATTTTCCTATTTCTTTAAGTTCCTTTTAACGATGTTTATTATGTTTGTTTGATTGGTTTGCCATTTTGACCATCGTGATGAATAATAATGCATAATTTCAATAGAAATGAAGTAATTTTTGACTCACTTTTATACTTTTTATTTAGAATGTTTTTACTTGGACTGTAATTTGCTGGTCTGGTCTGATTTGGTCTGGTCTAAACTGGTATGGTCTGGTCTGGTTTCTTTGTATTTTTATAACTATCCAAGTCTGGTCTAGTCTGAACTGATCTGGTCTGAGAGGAATTACAGTCCAAGTAAAAATATCCTAAACTAAAGGCAAATGTTTATAATAATTTGACAAAGCAAGCATAAAAGGATTACTAAAGGAATCCTTAACATGTTTCATTATAGCTAAAATTCGCATGTCTTCTTAATTGGATTTCAAAAAAAGGATACACCCCATCCCTGAGGCCCCCAACTCCGATCGGACAATATGTTGGGAGGATTTAAGTTGAACTATAATCCCAATCTAACAGATAGAGAGTAGAACTCTGTCCCCGCTACTTGCAGAGACCCTATGCATTTTTAGCATAGTAACATCTCATCGCAGTTGCCGAAATTCGAAATCGGGACTTAACCCTTGTGACACTCCCTCGCTATCTGTTGAGCTACGCCCACCCCACCCGTATCTTAATTGGATTTCAAAGCTTAGAGTCAAGAACATACAAAGGACAGGGATGTGTTTAGGCTAAAAGCCCAAAATAAAAACTCCTTAGCATTCGTATTCAAACGCGTGTCTGGGTCAGAGACTTCGCTGTGTGGTCAGTGACTATTAAACATTCACCTGCATATATAACCCTGTCCGATTTACGCCTACTGATTCTCCTTTCTAACACTTTTGGCAACCAGTTAGCCCGAATCTAGGGAGAGAAAGCTAGGCGGCCAGCCGTAATCTCCATAGTCAAATCTCGTTTCAACTCCTTCTCAGGTAACTTCAGCTAGCTAATTCGAGATCTGACTCTGAACTGATCTTTAGTGTTCGTTTTTGTATCTGACATAAACTGCCAGGTTTTGCACTCATCAATCTATTTTCATTTCTGTTTCGAGATCCAGGGCGAAAAAATCCGGAGCTTTAAATTTCATTGCTTATATTTTTTCTTTCCTGACTTTTAAATCGCTTTGACACTGTGAAGCTGCCGGATGTAGTCGAATCTTAGCATAGTGATGGTTGAGTTTACGATCTATGCCCTACGTTACGATCTGTGTTTTTGATGGTACATAAATCCAAGTAAAGTAGCACTAACTTGATCTGCTTTAGGGTGTCGTAGATCTGTGATGTTTTGCATAGTAGATCTCTAGTTATATGTAATATGTGTATACTTGGTGTAGTTTTTTTCATCTTTTAATAATTTGCTTAGGAGTTGAATGATGCCATATGCTCATATAGTGTAGATAAGGTCTTTTTTTAGTATGGAGTACCTCGAAACCCTTATAATGATCGTTTAATCCTTATCCAAAATACATTAGTATATCTCATGGTTTCTTGATTTGTAGTCCTAAACGCAAAAAGAATAAGTAGTTTATGGGACATATTATGTGCTGTCAACTGCAGTCTGAGAAATTTGTTTTGCTTCTCTATGTGCCCCCAATTTTCTGAAATGTTTTGCAATTACATTGAGCTTTCTTTGCATCATAGAAAATGGCTGACGGTGAGGATATCCAGCCACTTGTATGTGACAATGGAACTGGAATGGTGAAGGTTAGTGTGCCCTTTTAATATTCAAAATTTATTCTAAGCTGCCATGCATTTTTATTGAACGCATGGCTTATATTTTCAAATTATTAGGCTGGATTTGCCGGTGATGATGCTCCAAGAGCAGTATTTCCTAGTATTGTTGGTCGCCCTCGACATACAGGTGTCATGGTTGGGATGGGACAGAAGGATGCCTATGTGGGCGATGAGGCTCAGTCTAAGAGGGGTATCTTGACCTTGAAATACCCAATTGAGCATGGCATTGTCAGTAACTGGGATGATATGGAAAAAATTTGGCACCACACTTTCTACAATGAATTACGTGTCGCTCCTGAGGAGCACCCTGTCCTTCTCACAGAAGCACCCCTCAACCCTAAAGCAAATAGAGAGAAGATGACTCAAATAATGTTTGAGACCTTCAATGTTCCTGCAATGTATGTTGCTATTCAGGCTGTGCTCTCCTTGTATGCAAGCGGTCGCACAACTGGTTTGTATATGATTACTTTCTACTTTTTGCTCTTATGATTTTTTTACTTGTCTATGTTTGGCGATCTGAAAATAGCAGGGGAAGAAGAAAATACCAAGAGGAATGTTTTTTTAATGTTTGGTTTTACCTAGGAATATATAATTTGTTCAAAACTTTTTTTTATTACATACGGAGTATATTTAGATTTCTCAGTCTTTATATTGGAATAGAACATGACCAGAAATATATATATATATATATATATATATATATATATATATATATATATATATATATATATATATTTTGTATTGAGGTTGAATCAATCCCCCCAAACACTAAATATTTATTTTCTTCCAAACTTCCTCTGTGTTACTCCATGTTTCTTTGCCTAGCATTAACAGAGTTCAAAACAGAACCTATGAAAAATCAAATATTGAGCATTCTAAAATGTTATGCAATTATTTGGTGGCAGGTATTGTTCTGGATTCTGGTGATGGTGTGAGCCATACTGTACCAATATATGAAGGTTATGCTCTTCCTCATGCCATCCTCCGTCTGGACCTTGCTGGACGTGACCTCACCGACCACCTCATGAAGATACTCACTGAGAGAGGTTACATGTTCACTACTACTGCCGAGAGAGAAATTGTTCGTGACATGAAGGAAAAACTTGCTTACGTGGCACTCGATTACGAGCAGGAGCTTGAAACTGCAAAGAGCAGTTCTTCTGTTGAGAAGAACTATGAGTTGCCTGATGGACAGGTCATCACCATTGGGGGAGAAAGGTTCCGTTGCCCAGAAGTCCTTTTCCAGCCATCTATCATTGGGATGGAAGCTGCTGGTATTCATGAGACCACATACAACTCGATCATGAAGTGTGATGTGGATATCAGGAAGGATCTGTATGGTAATATTGTTCTCAGTGGTGGGTCTACAATGTTCCCTGGCATTGCTGATCGTATGAGCAAGGAAATCACTGCTTTGGCTCCCAGCAGTATGAAGATTAAGGTGGTTGCACCGCCTGAAAGAAAATACAGTGTTTGGATTGGTGGATCCATCCTTGCGTCCCTCAGCACTTTCCAGCAGGTGAACTAAAAAGTGTTTAATTTGTCAAAAGTACTCAAAACACTTTTCAAACAAGTATTACTCCGTATTTAAAACACATACAACATGTCATGATTTTTTACAAAGTTTATTTGATCTTCACCAAAAAGGACATAGTTTAAGCAATGAGGGTTTGTTTGAATATGTTGTTGCATCAGTAAAGTCTGCTGTTTTCTTCCTTAGATCTTTTAACCTTGATTTTCTGGATCGCTTAATCAGATGTGGATTTCTAAAGGGGAGTATGAGGAGTCTGGCCCATCAATTGTCCACCGGAAGTGCTTCTAAGATGCTTCTACTGTTACTATTACTACTACGTAGAGGGTGAGTTTCTGGTTTTTGTAATACTTCTTCCCTGCTTTTATGTGACATGTCAATGTCTGTTGCATATGTATTTTTATCGAAAATATGGCATCTTTGTTTCTCATATTACAGGGGACTGCGACAATGGTTTGCCTTTTCTGCCTTAGACGTGTCATTACTAGCAAGTGTTTGTAGTTGGTGAGCGTTTGATTGTGATGTGTTTTTTCTTTTTCTTTCCAATTTCTTATTATATGGCTCTTTAATCAGCAGGTGGACTTGTGTTAATAGTTTATTGCAAGGCAAATTTTATGATACTCTGTTTTGGAAAAGTATTGTGATGGTCAGGTTGGAAGGTTCTGTGTTTTTTATCCGTGTGGATGGATGCATGTATAATTTGTGTTTTTTCCGTTTTTGAAGAATCGGCTTAGAATTATCTTTTTAATAATTTTTCCATATTTAATTATGCTCACGTATTATTTATAGCTTTGCGTTCTGTTTGGGATTGGTGTACAGTGATATACAATATCGGAGTATTATTTGATACATAGAGCTGGTTTGGTATTATGTTCAATCTTAAACGAGAATATAACATGACAGTCTAAGAAGTCACCAGATTTTCAAGAGTTCAGTTAACACACCCATACTGTACACAGCTACCACGCATAGGGATGGACTGAACCGGGCCAAACTGGCCTGTGAACTGGACCGGCCCGCTACTGTGCAGGCCCGGGCAGGGACCGGATGGCCGGTTCTGGGCTTTTAGCCCGTGTGGGCGGGCCTGGCGAACCGGGCTCCAGCCCTGTTTTTGTTGAACTGGCTTGGGCGGTTTGGGCTGGGCCTGGTTCATTTTTTTGGTTTTTTCAATTTTTTTTCTTTTCCTTGGGTAGGGCTTGGTGTTTTGGGGAGGTTTAAGGGGTGGGGCGTGGGGGGTTAATTAGAAAGCAAAAAAAAATTACATAGACCGGGATCCGACCCGGTCCGGTTTGGCCCGGACCTGGTGTCAACTTGGACCGGTTCCGAGCCCAAGTATCAGGAAAAAAAACCCGCCCGGGCCTGGCCTAGAACCGGAACGGCCCGTGTCCATCCCTAGCCACGCATTATAATATTATATCTTGCAGTTCAAATTCAATGTGTATATATAATAGGAGTATAAATAAATGATCATCAATCTATAATTTATGTTCACGAACTTACTATGGAGTAGGGATGGATTGGGCTCGGGTCGTGGTGGGACCGCGGTATGGGGTTTTTGGATTCAAGGTTCGGTACCGGCCCGGGTTGGAATCGGGTCAGGTCGGGCTACCCGGCTGGGTCTTGGATCGGGCTAATTATTTTCTTATAATTTTGTTTAAAAATTAATTCAACAATTGAAAATTGAGAAATCTAAAACATTAAATAAATGGATCCAATAAAAGAAACATAATTGTACTTTAAACAATTTTTATAAACATTAGCTTTGAAACGATGATCAAGAATAAATGTAATATCATATATATGCGTAATGTGTGAATCATATTTTAAAAACTTTTCTTTCATGAAAAAAAAGTTGAACGTAAGAGGCATCGGGAAATTCAGCAAAAGCATCAGCGAGATTAACAACTTCAACATAAAATTGGTTTACGATAGGTTTATAAACATGACTAAAAGTTTGAGTTGCATCATTAAAATACACCAAAACATTGACAGTTTTTTGCATAGTGTCGATGTCAACCGGATTTATAATATAGTTAGCATATTCTTTTCAAAAAACAGGAAAATGATCTTTAAATCTAATTAGTATAACAATTAAGTTATAAGTACTATTTCAGCGAACAAACAGACCTTTAGGAAAAACACAATATTTCAAACGTCTATCCAGACTATCCTTCAGATATTGACGCCATTGTTTTTAAGTGAATTACTAGCACAAATAAGTCTAATTCTCCCTTCACTATCGTCTATCTCCATAACATCTCCTAACGCGGTTAGCCCGTCTTTTGCACATAAATTGAGAATATTACATGCACAACGCTAATGAAAAAACGTACTCATCAATGTAGAAGGACCACACAATTCACGAATCTAGGTATAGCAGCAGTATTATTACTAGCATTATCAATCACCTTATCAATCAGATTATACTCAATTAAAATATGCCCAATGAGAACATAAATATTATCAGCGGTGTGTCGATCATTAAATTCACGAAAAACAATAACACGTTTATGCATTTCCTAATCATCATCAATATAATGTGCAGTCACACCCAAATAATACAAATGATGATGAGTATCCTCCCATATATCACTACAAATACTAACACGCCCATCAAAGTTTGCAAAAAAACATTTGTAATCTTTCCTTTCCAAAAACATATTGCCGTATAACTTCCCTTTTAATGGTTTTGCGACTATAATTTCTAAATTGAGGATTTAAAGAACCTTGAGCATAAGCTTTTAAAGCAAGACTTTCAAAAAAAATGAAAGACAATTTTTTTAACAATTAAGTGAGACATAGCAGTTAAATGTTTGGAATCATCATAGGATAAATTATCATAGGGTTGGCCAGTTGCAAATCTTGACATTTGAGTTTGCTTCCCCTTGCCTTTTAATTTCGCATACTCCACGGGGTGACAGCTCTTAATATGCCTATCGGCGGCGGCGTATCTTTGTAAATCCCCAAGCTAATATTTTTTTACAATGGTCGCAAGGTTCCCACCACTTCTCAGTTTGGGGGTCCTTCCACTTTTTAAAATTATTTTTCATAAGGAGAGATTCACCTTTCTTACCGGATTAGGATGAACCAGCCTCGTCCTCGTCGGGGGTTGTATCGTCGGGGGTTCCATGACTACCATTGTCGGGGGTTTCATAGTCGCATTGATCCTCTTCACTGTCGTCATCCTCGAGCTCTTCATCAATCTCGGGAATGTCTTGTTGTTGGTAAAACCGGTCATGTCATTAGTTCAAAAAATGAGCCATTTGCTTATCGGACATCACATCTCTCCGGTTGTAAGTCGTGTCAAAATCTCACCAGCTTTGAGAAGAAGACCCAACATGTCCTTTACCTTTGTCTCGCGAATTATGATGATTTTTCCCAATCTCCTTTCGATTGCGTTGGAGATTACCCATATCTAGAGAATGTCTACCTCATTCCATCTTAAAATGTAAGAAATATTAAATTCTAACAAATGTGTTAATGTGACTACAAATACAATGCAACTAATATAAAAATGTAACTAAAATATTACTTTATGTAACAAAATGGGACTTTTAATGTAAATAAACTGTAAGTAATTTGTAACAAATACTTATTAGTGAGTAAAATTTAAAATGTGACTTTTATAATAAAATGTAAGTAATATTTAATATAATTACAATGTGACTTTTATATTAAAATGTGACTACTACAATTAACTAAAATTCCAACTACTTTAATAGTTTAATCCAACAAGTGTAGTAAAATTAACTAGATGTGAGGCTTTAAAGAATAAGAAGCTATCGTCAACAAACAATAAGTAAGACTCTCTTCGTGCCCTTCTCACAGTAGCTGCAGCCTTGCACTAAGCCCTTCTGCAACCAATATAAACAAGTAAGGTGAAATGGGTTCACCTTGCCGTAGCCCCCTTGACGATAAGATCATATCCAACTCTTGATCATCAAACGGAATAGAATAAGTAACCGAACAGATTGTTTCAATGACAATATCCACCCACTTTTAATCAAAACGTAACCCCAACATTACAACCTTTAAATAGACTCATACTACTCTGGCATATGCTTTGCTCATATCCAAATTTAGATTGTAAACCCATTAAGACCTTGACTTTTCCGTTTCAAAAAATAATGGGACTCAAAGGTTATCAATATATTGTCAATAATTGATCATTCTGGGATGAACGCACTTTGATTGAGAGAAATGAGCCCATTCAAAATATAATTGATCATATTAGCAAGAATTTTGGAGAAAACCTTATAAATAACATTACCCAAAGACATAGGTCTCCAATCGGCCACAGATTTAGGCTGATCCTTCTTAGAGATAAGGACAATATGTGTATGATTAACTCTTCAACAGAGCTTACTTGACAGAAAAATTTGCTTGCAGAAATCCACTACGTCTGCTCCTATCACCCCCCAGAAATCACCTCCTATGTCCTACGCAATCCATAACAAAAGAACTCTCCATGCCCAATCTTTTCACCAAATCTTCCACTTTCCTTTTCGTTGAGAAAGTCTCCATTGAGAAGACTAAGGATGACCTCTTCGAGTGATAATATCCACTAAAACTTGAATTGTCAATGAGCTGCCAAACCCTCGATAGTTCCAGCTAAGGCAACTCATAATTTTATGCAGGCCTGAACATCAGGACCCGCCTCTAATACATTTTTTGACCCTCTTGCAATAGCGTCCTCCTATTCCAATCATGACTTCTGTGCACTCTCATTGATCCTCCTGCGTTTACCTATTAAACTTCCCCTATCTAAAAGGGGTGTATTGAATATGAATTGTTGTGGATTTTTTTTATCCATGGATTTTTAAAAAAGTTCATGGACTTTAAAAAGCCCATAGACTTTTTGATGAATAAATTCAAAAAGCGTATAGACTTGTAAATCTGGACCGCCACTCCCGCTCGTTAGAATCTTCATCCGAAGTTCACCGTCGCCGTCATCGGACTGATCCGCCAGACTGCCACCAACAAAATGACTTTGGTTATGCAAGGGAAATAGGGGCAATTAATTATATTAATTAAATTAGGGGTAGAAATGTAATGTTTAGTCCTATTTAATTAAAACCATACATATGATCATACTTTGGGAAGAATGCTACTCCTAAGTTTTAGTCATACCTTGAGCAATTTCGTTTGTATAATATGATAAGAAACAATTAAATACAAAAATGAAACAAATGTAGTTCATCTAGCAACGCAGAATTCTACAAGAATAAATGAAGCATAAGCATGTAAATTTATTTTTATTAATATGAAAACTTAAAGTTTCGAGAATGTAGTTCATGGACGAGAAGCACTGAAACCCTAGATGTGTGCTAGGGAAGGAAACTTTTTATTATTATCTTAAATGATGTTATAAATAGCATTTACCTACGATATCATTTTAATGTCAACTATTGTCTAAGTAGATAACTTTGTCTCTAGTATTGACATTGAAATCAAGTATCCTCACTATAATTGCATTATAATGAACTACTTTTTAGCTATTTTACACCATTTATCTAAAATAATGTTTTGATTTCATTTTATGATACTCAATATATGTTAATTGAAAATTTCATATTTTCAAAATATAAACCACACCAAAGTAAATTGGATTGCAAATCATATATAAACTCTAAAAGTAACGTGTTTGGCGTGAATTGACATATATACTTTTGATAGGACTCGGTTCTAACGTTTTGTGATAACGTCGTGAAAAATTGGACAAGTTCATGACAAATTTGTGTAAGTCTATTCTTTTTATATTGAAACATGATAATAGTTTGAAATATAAAACCAATTATTTTGTTCAATCAATGCACAACATGTGGATAATAATTGAGCTTCATTTTGGAATGTTGATAGTATTATATTTCAAGCTAGTAATATTATTGTACGAAGT